TGAGTTAACACTAGCCATTTCATCATGGCCTCCAATTTCATCAGCATGTTACAGTTTGGGTGTGGCATTCTCTCACTTTCTTCATTAAAGTTATTACTTTTTACCCCATGGTAAGAATTTCTTTTTTGTGTGGTTAGTTCAGATAGGGAAATACCACTGGATTTTGGCAGCATCAATTTCATAGCCTACATCTTCACTGGGTTCATTTGTTTGACTCTGGTGGACCATTTTGAAAACATGAGAAAGAGTCAAGTGAGAAAAGGAAGCACATATGCATGCATTCCCTATCCCCCCTTTATAGTCAGGGTCCCAAGGCACCCAGTGTGGCCTCAAACTCAAGATGAAGACAAGAATGACATCAGACTTCTTGAGAAAACAGCATGACCAAGGTGACTTATGGAAGAAAGGGTTTATTTGGGTTAAGGATGGCAGAGGGATGAGACAGTCACGGCAGAAAGTAGTAGACATGGCGGCAGGAGCTGGGTGTTGAAGGCTTTAATCTTGATCTTCAAACACCGAGCAGAGAGGGTGAACTGGAAATAGCACCACTCTTTAAACTCTTAAAGCCCTCCTCTGGAGACACACTTCTTCCAGCAAGGCCAAATCTCTTAATCCTTCCCCAAACACAAGCAGCAACTGGGACCAGTTCAAATACCTGAGCTGGTTTATGGCGGACATTCTCATTCAACCACCAAGACTTCCCATCCTCCTGCCTTCACTCCTGTGGGCTGCTGGGGTTACAGGCTTGTGTCGCCTTATCTACTTCAGTGGTGCTGGGAATGAAGCCAGCACTTCATGTACACTAGGCAAGTGCCATGACAACCAAACGAGCCTCCTCACCAATCAAACCAACCAGGCAGAAACCATTGAGCCTAGAAGATGCTTGCAGAAATGGCACACCCATGCTTCCTGAGTTGTATGTGCTGACCCTGTGAATAAAGTCTCCTCCAAGAAGGGGACACTGAGATTTCATCTGGACACCAGAGTGTACCTTGAGAGTTCTAGAAATCTTTTTCACGCTCTTGTCTCTGAACATTTGCATATACTCATCCCTCTGCTAGGAACGCCCTAGTGGCCAAATGCTGGCGAATTCCACCTACCCTCCAGCTCTGCTGTCCCCTCCTGTCAGCCTTGCTCACCCTGCCAGCCCAACAGGCAGTTATTCAACCTCTTGTTCTCATGCCCCCAAGCATTCCTTGTTTCTCGCATGGGTGAGCTTTTGGATGGCAGGTGGCCTCTGAACCTCTGAAGATGCCTTTCAGCCAAAAGTCATTTATTGGCTTTTGTAACTGCAAAGAAATCCAGGGTTATGGCTAGATTTCAAGACATTTTCTCTCTGTCTCTCTCGATTTCTCTCCTCTCACTCCTTCCTTTCTCTCTCTCATCCCTCTCTATTCTGTCTCTCTGCTTCTCACTGTTTCTCTGTCTCTCTCTTTCTGTATTTCTGTCTTTCTTCCTGCTCTACCCCTGTCTCTGCTTGTCTCGGTTTCCTGCCTGAGCCTCATTCTCTCCTACTGCAAACAGGGAAAAAGACTCTCCATAGAGGCAAGCCTCACCCTAGTCCTCAGCCTTGCTTCTTAGCAGAATGACATTCAGCTCTTCTTTGCAGTGTTTGTATGCTGGGCCAGGCAAGCAATCCTTATGAAATGCCTGTGGGGCCATTTCTATACTTTCCCCCATCACTGAGGCCAGAAAATTCTACATGGTGAATGGTGCTTCCAAGCTTATGACACCCAGCCTCAAGCCAAGGCGATTGTGACTAGAATGGGCTGGAATGTCTGAGCCAGTCCTGACTGTGTTATTGAGAGTTCAGTTGTTCGGGAGTCCAGAGAAACTTTATGCATCCTTTTCTCATGGCTCACACTTCTGATGGTGGATAGAAATCCCCTAAGGAACTGAGTCAAAGTCAAGACATAAGTGTAGCTGCTTAGGTCTTATACCTTCTCAAGATTTTGCCACATGCTGTTGATTAGAATCCAGCACACAGCCTCCATCTAGCAGCAAGGGAGTCAGTCAGGTGTCATCATTGCTGGTAAGGAGCACAAGATTTCTGCCTAAGGAGAGCTGGAGCTTACTCCTGAGAAGGAATGATGAAGATTGTCCTGAATGTTGCAGGGATGGCCAAATGCATCTAATGATGATGGTGCTGAAAGGGAGGGTTGGAGATTTAAACACCAGTCATCTGGTACTTAGAACATGGTTCAGTGTCTTCACCATGACAATGGACTCACCTCCTTCATCTCCTACCCTTGCTTTCTCTTGGCATCTGTGCTATAAAAGCTTTTCTGACCTTTGTACTTTTTTCTCAGGCAAGATCATTCTGCCTCAGGGCCTTTGCATCAGCTTGTCTTCTCTTCCAGAGTGATCTGCTTCACCAAATCTATCTCATCTTTCTGATTATCAAGAAGCTTCATTTTTGAAACAGCTTGTCCCTCCAATTCAGATACTCTGTTTTGCTTCCTGAAAAACACTCAGCATAACATAAAACTGTGTTGTTTTGAAATTAATTTATTATGACTTTTATTATTATTGGTGCTGAGGATTGAACCCAGGTCCCCATGCACACCACGACCATACCCTACCGCTGAGATACAGCCTCAGCCCAAACCTCTTATTGTTATTTGTTTCTTCTTAGAATCCATGGACCCAATCGGAAGGAGCATGTTTGTGATTCTCCCTGTGTCCCCAAGGCACAAGATCATAGCTGTGCCCCTGACATGAAGTTTTGTGCTTATTGGGAAACTGAGCCTGTTGTTGATCTGATTATCTCCTGCCTCACTATGCAAACCACTTCTTTCTATGACTTGCATGTGCTGTCAGCAAGTGTTTGGGTGTTGATGGATGGAACTGCAGATTGCCAAAGCATCCAAGAACAAATATAAACTTGTTCGTTGAACATATACCAGATTGCAAGCCTGAAACCTCCTAGACATCGGTTTACATCTGCATGTATCTCCGCCATCTGCCTATCCATCCGTGTATCTTTATTAGGACCTCTAATTCTAATAAATACCTAGCATCTATTATCTAATAAATACCATAAACTACCTTGTAACATGAATAAATACTAATAATACCTAGTAGTTACTCAAGAAATGGCTGGACTTTGAGTTTATGCCTGACAACCACAGTTCTCTTCTAGCATCATGGAGGAGCTGCCCTCCAGGATGCCAGGGTCAGGGTACAGGTCAGCTCAGGATTGGAAATCCCCACCTGAACCCATGTAGGTCTTGTGATGGCTGACCTTTCTTTAGAGCGGTGCTGTTGCCTTCTCCAACACTGGTCGCATGTGGAGGAACCTCAGGAGAATCAGCAGGTGCTATGGACAGAGACAAGTAAGCACAGGCTGATGAGCTGTCTTGTATGCCTGGCCAAAGACTCAGCTTCATGGGGAGCTATAGGAGACTTTCCAACCAGGAGAAACCATGCTAATAATCTACCCAACCACAAAACAGAAAGAGAACTCTGCTTCTTTTTGAGTGGAGGGTGGTCATGGGGCCGCCACCTGGGATGGTGACACCGTGATGAATTCAGAGACAAGGCCACTGATGGCAGGGAAGAGAGACAGGAGTGAAGGGTGACTGTCCAGTTGGTGCTCTGGCCCTGGGACAGGACAGGTGGTCTGTCCATCTGCCCCAGCAGAAAGCTGGGAGCAAGAAGGTTGAAAGCACAAGGGGTGTTTGATGTTCAGAAGCGAGGGCTCCCGCAGAGTTGCTCAGAGCGCAAGTGCTTCTGGGTGGGGAGCAAGCCACTGGAATAGGAGGCAACACCTGCAGGGAAACCGCCCCCTTTAGGGGCCTGCTTTCCCTCACTAGCAACTGAGCTCAGCACCGCCAGGCAGACAGGAAGAACATGAGAGGCTTGTGTGTGAGAGGCGCACTAAGGCTGTAGAACCACACTGTCTCTCCACCCTTTCCTCAGTTTCCCCTTTCCCTCTCCAGCCGGGACTTTTTCAGCTTTAGTTTCTGCGAAACACAGTCATCGCCCCCCCCCCCCCCCCCCCCCCCGCTTCCCTCCTCCTCCCTCCTGCCTAAGTGGATTGAGCATGTCCAAAAGTAGGAAAGGCGAGGCAGCTCCAAGATGCGGGGTGGCGGGGAAGCACTCTTGTCGAGGCCTGAGTTTAGCCGAGTCTCGGGTGGGCGTGAGGAACGAGGTGGGCTCAAGGGCCACTGTCTCCAGCACAACTTCTGGGTGACTCTCCCAGACAATGAGGAGAGTAGTCCTCATTGTCTCTCCTTTGGAGCGAAGAAAGCAAGGATCAGCAAAGCTGAGTAGGGAATCTAGGGTCCTATGACCCAGAGTATGGATTCGGGATGTGGCTGTGCCATCTAAGGCCGTGACACCCAAGCCTCTGGTTTGTCCGGAGGCTGCTGCATCCCACTGCTCCTCCACTCTGCTTTTAGAAATGCGGCCAGGGCTAGGGCCCCAGAGGTGCTCCAGGAGAGGCACCTGGTGTTCAGGAGAAGCTAATTCCCAAGCTCCGGACGGGGGTGTGGCGCTGGGGTCACTCATGGACCTGTGCATGGCCTCTGGAGTTGGAGGAACACGACAGAGTCAGGACGCGGGGCACAGGTGGGAGGGCGTGCGGGCGGCAGAAGCTGATAGGGGCGGGAGCGCGGGACGTGGCAGCCACGGCGCCACAGAGATCGCCCAGTGCCCGCGGCTCAGGCTCCCGCCCCCGTTGGCGGCCGCTCTACGCTTCTGCTTCTCCGGCTCCGAACCAGACGCAGCGGCAGCGGCCGCCCGGCGCGCTGCCTACACAGGATCCCAGCCCGGGCGGCCCGCGGGCACCGGTAGCTTCCTGCCCCATCAGTGCGGAGCAGAGGCGCACGAGGCCGTCACCGTTCCAGGATCTCGCGTGTAGGGTGAGCGCCCCTCGGGTCTGGGGACGGTCAGCTGCAGGGCCAGGAACACCCTCTGGGGTGTCCGATGGGGCCTTCGCGGGGGAGCAGGACCGAAGTTGGGACTGCACGCAGCGCGCCGGTGCTACTCAGCAGGTCATGTTGCCTCCTGGGCGCAATGGCACCACGCATCGGGCGCGGCTGGGTTTGCAGCGGCAGCTGGCGCAGGCGGGAGCCCCGGGGGGCTCGGCGGCCCCGCTGGGACCCGCGCAGGTGGTCACCGCCGGCCTCCTGACTCTCCTCATCGTCTGGACATTGCTCGGCAATGTGCTAGTGTGCGCAGCCATCGTCCGAAGCCGCCACCTGCGCGCCAAGATGACCAACATCTTCATCGTATCCCTGGCTGTCTCGGACCTTTTCGTGGCGTTGCTGGTCATGCCTTGGAAGGCTGTGGCTGAAGTGGCTGGGTACTGGCCCTTTGGGGCGTTCTGCGACGTCTGGGTGGCCTTTGACATCATGTGCTCCACTGCCTCTATCCTAAATCTGTGTATCATCAGTGTAGACCGTTACTGGGCTATTTCCAGGCCCTTCCGCTACGAGCGCAAGATGACCCAGCGTGTAGCCCTGGTCATGGTGGGCCTGGCCTGGACCTTGTCCATCCTTATCTCCTTCATCCCGGTCCAACTCAATTGGCACAGAGACAAGGCAGGCTCTCAGGGCCCCGAGGGCGTGTCGACAAATGGGACGCCCTGGGAAGGAGGCTGGGAGCGAGAAGGGAGAGCAGAGAACTGTGACTCCAGCCTGAACCGAACCTACGCCATCTCCTCGTCGCTCATCAGCTTCTACATCCCGGTGGCCATCATGATCGTAACCTACACGCGCATCTACCGCATTGCACAGGTGCAGATCCGCCGGATCTCCTCCCTGGAGAGGGCAGCTGAGCATGCTCAGAGTTGCCGGAGCCGCGGGGCCTGCGAACCTGACCCCAGCCTGCGAGCGTCCATCAAGAAGGAGACTAAAGTCTTCAAAACCCTGTCAGTGATCATGGGGGTCTTCGTGTGCTGCTGGTTGCCTTTCTTCATCCTGAACTGCATGGTTCCTTTCTGCAGCAGTGGGGACGCCCAGGGCCCAAGGACGGGTTTCCCATGCGTCAGCGAGACCACTTTCGACATATTCGTTTGGTTTGGCTGGGCCAACTCTTCTCTCAACCCCATCATCTATGCCTTCAACGCAGACTTCCGGAAGGTGTTCGCCCAGCTGCTGGGGTGCAGCCACCTCTGCTTCCGGACCCCGGTGCAGACGGTAAACATCAGTAATGAACTCATCTCCTACAACCAAGACACGGTCTTCCACAAGGAGATCGCTGCTGCATATGTCCACATGATCCCCAATGCAGTGTCCCCTGGAGACAGGGAGGTGGGCGAGGAGGAGGAGGAGGAGGAGGAGGGGCCTTTCGATCACATGTCTCAAATCTCTCCAACGACCCCAGATGGTGACCTGGCTGCTGGGTCTGTCTGGGAGCTCGACTGTGAGGAGGAGGTTTCCTTAGGCAAAATCTCACCTCTCTCTCCCAACTGTTTCCGTAAAACTGCTTAGAAACACCCTCATGAGCATATACAATTGCGGCCATTGCTACACGCATACTCACACACACACACGCACACACACAAATATACACTCCAAGTGTGCTGTAGTCTGGCTGTATAGAAACTAAATGATTCTCACCTGAGAAAATTAGCGGAGGCTGTTGGAATAAACTCAGATATTCTGGACAAAGAAGAGAGTTCCCTTTAGGGAAGAGAAACTGGATCCTGGTCCTTTAAGAGCACACCTCAACTGAACCTTTCTAACAAAAGCTTGTTCTGTGACTTGCATCTGGGTTGTTTTTTAAATAACAGGTCCGATTGTTGGCAATTGTTGGGGTGGGCTGTGACTTTCGAGAGACTTGGGTCTGTAGTCCTGTGTTCTGGAACTCCATTAGTGCAGACTGGGGGAGGGGGTGTCTTTTCTGTGTCTGGGCTTTCTTTCTGGTTTGTTCTAGTTTTTAATAAGCGCACAGTACATGTGCTTGGGCTTGGGAGCCTGGATGTCTGTCACCTTTGCCTTGCCAGCTGGTTGGTGCTCAGCATTGCTCCTGGAGAAATCACAGGCGTGCTCTTAAAAGACAGCTGAGTTTTGGAACGCACATTTGTTTGCTGAGCAGCTTTGCTTTCAGAGAACATGCGGGACAAAGGGCCTTGAGGAACTGCTGAATTCTTGCCTGTCTTTTTCCTAGTCACACCTTCAGGGCACCCTGAGAGCTAGTTTCACCTCCACACTATTAGATGTGGACTTCTCAGGCCTGACACTCAGTTTTGTTTGGTCTTTTGGAACCTTCTCCTAGAATCACAGGTGACAATGGTCCTGATTTCTAGACAGACACTCTCAGCGCATTGAATAGACCACCTAGACTAACAACTCTGCGTTCTCCATCCCTCATCTGGAGTGTTTCAGAATGACATGGCTTCAGTAAACCACAGTTTCTAGGGTCTTTTAGGTGCAATATGCTTCAAAATGCTTCAAACCTGGAATCCTGCTTTGAAGCAGATGATTTTCCTTGCAGACAGTAGCAAACAGAATGAACTTCAACCCACATGCAGAAAGACAAAGGTGATACGTGACTGAACGAACTTATCAGGTGAGGGTCTCACAAAGGATCCCACCTGTCTGTCTTTCTGCTTTCCCTCTCTGCACCGAGTACAGGAAAGTGTTCTTTATTCCGGTATGATTTTATTAGACACAAATTAAAAAAAAAAGTAATGAAATCAAATGAAATGTGCATATGTAAGCTGCTACACACCCCTGCTCCAAAGACAGTTTCTCAAGGAGAGTTCAATCAATTTTGGTTTCCCTATGGATAATTGTATTGTGAGTCTTCTGATCAGGTGTGTCATGTTCCCTGTAAAATGTGCAGTGCCTGTCACAACATGCTTAATAAATGTTTGTTGAATGAACCGTTTTCTGGAACAGTGAGGCTGAAGGCAAAACTTACTCAGTATGTTAAGTCCCATAATTTTTGTCAGGCTTGTCCTAGGATCTAAGGTCTGCATTCGTGTTTTGACTTCTTGCAAGCCTACAGCTTAAGCAGATCACCAGGTCATAGCCAGGGGCTGAGAAAGCTGCCCTCTGCCAGGATTCAGGAGGCAGCTACATAATCCTGAAAGAGCCTCCTTGGCCCTCTTTGGGCTTCGCTTTCTGGATGCATTTGTAAATGAAAGGAGTTGACCATTAGCTTTCAAATATTGTTTCATGATTCGAATTATCACAGGTAGACTCTGGGAAATGCAGCAAACTCAGGTTCGATGTTCATTTTCCCTATAGGGCTCTGGAGAGCTTTTCCTGAGCATTATGAATCCCAAGTGTGCAAACATCGTTTCCCAGCATCTTTGACCGTGAGAATCCTTGTTGGCTGGAATTCCTATTTCCCTCTTTCTCTCTCTCTAGTCTTCCATTACAGGAGTATAGTTTGAGAAAATTGGAAATTCAGAACCTAAAAGATCGATTGTTTTATAGAAGAGGTTGTAGTAGGTCAACACGGGGAGTGGGGGCAAATGTCTCCCTTTAAAGAGGTTTGTGTTATGGGAAACCCATCTCATAAAGACTGTGGAATGCCCTTCTCTAAGGTACCACTTCTCCTGTGTGCTATCTCCATGTCCCACGTGCTCAGCACAATGGGAATGCTGTCATCTGGCAGCTTCTCTGCTGTCCCAGAACCTAGTATCAGTGGGCTCAGGAAAGTTCATTTTACATTGTCTTGGACCATGCTGCCTGTGACATTCATCACGCATTGGTAAAGGCTGTCACACACAAGAAAAAGAAAAAGTGGTTACATTTAAGAAATCTGGAGGGATTTCTCTGAAGAGAAGAGCTAGCTGTCTGGGCAGAGGGAATGGCAGGTGCCAAGGTCTGGAAATGGACTGTGCCCTGCCTAGGCTAGATATGTACATATGGGCACATGTATATGTGTGTGAAGGTGTAATTGTCTTTGTGTTTAGGGGCCAGAGGTTCATATTGTTGGAGTAACTTCCTCAATTGCTTCTCCTAATTTTCAGTGAGGTCTCTCACTGCAAACAAGGAGCTGATTTGACTAGGCTAGATGACTAGTGAGCCCCCAGGATCCTCTTTTTATAGACCCTCATTGGCTTTGTGTGGGTACTTGGAATCTAAACTCAAGCTCTCACTCCCGCAGAGCAAGCATTTTACCTACAGAGCCAAATTTCCACCCCAGGCTCTTTAATCTTAACTGTCCTTCAAGGCAAGAGGGGCTACCCAGAGGTTCAGCATATTCAGTTCTTAGCTCCCATATTAGCAAACCATCTCTGTGACCTGCTCCATGCTGGAAAGAGAAGCTATAAGAGCAGTGGTTAAGGCAGCTAAGACTAAACCTTCCCGTGGATGGGCCATGTGCCTTCTCATTTGGCTTTCCCATTAACAATTTTCCCATTTTACGGATGAGGACACTGAGGAACCACAGTGGTTCATCCAAGGTCATATGACAAGTATATATGGTGGACCCAGGGTTTACATCTGGTTCTCAGTTGGGGCATCCTTCCTATTACTGGCAGCAGTAGGCTAAGAATTCATTTTCTCTGGAAGCCCCACTATTCAGCTCCTTAGAGAGACCCAAGTAAAGGGGCATTCTTTCACACAGATTGTCTCGTGACCTGATGTAGAGGCAAATTCCTCTCATGTTGGCCCTCGGTGTTCTTCAAACAGTACTGTAACAGTGGCTGTTGATAGCAGCGTGGGGGTGGGGGTGGGCCACACATTTCCACACTCTTGACAGCTCATAGGTTCGGGGAAGCATGTTTTTCCAACATGACTTTTCAGGGAGAACAAATGAACTCCAGCTCATGTGTCAGCCCTCAGAGCTGGAGTCCTGTGATGATAAAGACTCCAGGGCTGCATTCCAACTGGTGGCAACAAGGGGCTGATTGATACAGTGTCTGTGATTGGCGTGGAAGGTGAGGTGCATGCTATACGGTAAGCAACTGCCAGTTGCTAGACAACTGCTAGGTATACCAGTTGTCCCCTTCTTGTGTGCCACTTGGAATTATCAGAGGTTAAAACATTGGTGTCAGAAATCGACTTTAAATTGGTTCATCATTTTCTGAGGTTCAGGACCCTTGAAATTTTAGGTTTTTCAGTGTGCTTGTCTCTGGAGTCACACCTGAGAAACAACATGGGATTGCACTTTTTTTTTTTCTGAGACAGGGTTTTTGTGTGTAGTTTTGCCTGTTCTGAACTTACTTTGTAGACCAGGCTGGCCTCAAACTCACAGAGATCCGACGGCCTCTGCCTCCAGGAGTGCTGAGATTAAAGGCGTCATCAGGTGTGCTTCGGACCTATAGGCTTTGATCCTGTCTTGGAGGGTCCTGCTGCAATATTATACAGGCTCTGATAGGCCATGACGGTGTCTGTGAACTCTTCGGTCTCTTAGAAACTTGAATTATTCCTAGACATCCTGCTATAGAAGAGAATTTGACGGCAGAGGAGGTGGCTCAGTCAATAAAGTACTTGCTGTGCTAGGTTAAAGAGTTTGAATCCAGCACCAACCTCAAAGCTGGGATGGGTGGTGCCTCTGTGACCTCAGCTCTGGAGTGGAGGGCTCACTGGTTAGCCAGTCTAGCTGAATCAGTGAGTTCCAGGCCAGTGAAAGGTAGAGAGAAATTGAGTAAGATACCCAGGACTGACCTCTGGCCTCCACACACATGAATGTTCACCTGTATGCACACATGGACAAACTATGAACATATATACACACATACATCCTTATATTCATGAACATGTAAACACACACACAAACATATACACACCATGCACACACATACATACACACACACACACACACACACACACACACGAAATCTCATTAGTCCGTCTTTGCAGTTGATGATGGAAATAAGCAAACCAGCTCAACTTTCACTGCCCAAGTGTCCAGAAAGCTGACAACGATGGAGAACTGTGGGGGTGCTTTTCCTCAAGGAGAAATCATTCAGCAGGTAAAGCTAGAACAATTTGTCTTTGATTCCTAGATTTGTAAATCAGGAATGCAAAAAACAAGCAAATAGCAAGTATCTAATAAATATTTTTGTAGGAATGAAGTGATGAGTTTGTTTGTCTAGGATCCATAATAAAGGGAGAAAGCTAAGGTAGCTGCTCTCTGTAGGCCACACGATTGTATCCTAGATATTTGGGACTATTAGAATCCATATTGCAAATGTCCACATAGGCTCATGTAGTAAAGTCTTGGTCCCAGCTGATAGGGTTCTGGGAAGAATCTTTAGAACATGGAGCTTCTTGGGAGGAATCAGGTCATTGTGGCCGTGTCATGAATGGTATGCTGGGATTCTGGATTCTTCCTCTTTCTTTACTTCCCAACGTCTGTGAAGTGAGCATCTCTGTTCTACCATGTGCTCCTACCATAGTGCCTTGTCTTGCCATAGGTTTAAAGTGATGTGTGAGTAATCATTCTCTCTCTCCATCTCTCTCTTTCTCTCTATGTTTGTGTGTATGTGTGTGTGTGTTCATGCATGAGAAGAAGACAACATCAGGGGTTCAGTTTTCTCCTTTAAGTCAGAGTTTCTCACTGACCTGGAGCTCACCAATTAGGCTAGGCTGGCTGACCAGTGATCCCCAGGGATCCTTCTGTCTGCCTCCCAGTGCTGGGGTCACAAGCACACGTCATCATGCCCAGCTCTTTCACATGCATTGAAGAATCAAAATCAAATCTGCATGCTTGTGTGGCAAGCATTTCACAGATGGAGCCATCTTCCTAACCCCAAATAATTCCTCCTGAAGTTGTTTGTTTCTGAGCTAAGTAAGCGTGCTTGTGCCTCTTCAGTTTCATAGGCTTAGATTGAGAGAGACCTTCACCCAGGCATTACTCCCTGGAAGCTTCAAAAAAAAAAAAAATCACATTGCCCAATTCCTTCATGCTGGGATGCAGAACAGTTCCCCAGAAGGACAGAAACTTTTTTTTTTAAAGGTGATTAAACTGAATCTGGGTCTTTGGGCTCCTGGTTTGCTTCTTCTGCAATACAATGAGCCCCAGTGTAGATTGAATGCTGTCCGTTGTTGGTGGATTATGTACAGATAGGCAGGGACTTTAGCCTGCTGATTTATTCTCGATTGGAAGCAGCGTGGAGGCGGATAATCTACAACTGAAAAAATGCTAGTGAGGAGGGGGGTAAAACAGCATCTCAAAGGCTTGTATTTTTGTTTGTATTTCATGAAAGAAGCCAGACCTTTCTGTGCTAAGTGCCAGGAAGCTGTTTCAAAGAAGAGCTGGGGAGAAAATGGCTTTAAAATTTATATTACAATCTCAAAAATAAAATATATAAGAAAAGAAAAAAAATGAATTGAAACCAAACACAGGGCATCATCCCTTTACTGCTCTAAGGTCCTTGTGCAGGCCGAGTGGCTCTTCCAGTGCCATGGGGGGGACTTGCTGTCCCACTCAATTCTGGTCTGGTGACTCTGACATTCCAGGAAGCACAGAACAAAGATCAGAGTGGGGCTAACGGACTTGGGTTTCAATTTTAGTAACTCTATAGAACAATTCAATATTCCAGTGTAGTCTGTTCCTCTCTAGTCATGAGAACTTCACCGCTTTCATCCCAAATTAGATGATACACTCTACTAGAGTGTATCAATTTTTCAACTTGACTGTACCTGGAATTAATGAAAACCCTAATGGATGGCACACCTGTGTGGAATTTTTAAATTAAATCATTTGAAGGGGAAAGACCCACTTTTAATCCAGATATTTTGGGGTAAGAAGATCAAGCTTTAATGTGGGCCACAGCTTCTGCTGGCAGCCCATATAAAGGGAATGGAAGAAGAAAGCTTGCTCCCTTTGCCTGATTGCTCTTGAGCTCCTGGAAAGTTCATTCCTTCACTGGCATTAGAGTACCCTTCAGGATTCTAGTGTATACTGAAGACCAGCTGA